GCCAAGTACGACTATTGGGGGACTATCACTCACTGACATGACTTTTACTTTTTATGTTTGGAGAGGGGAGCCCACAGGCCCTTCAACTGCCTCGATTTAGTTGCTAGCAAGAAGCTCCCTTATCTCCCCTGGTCACTCCCTTCCCCAGAGCTCCTTCCCCTCTACTGGATCACTAACACACCTTTAACATTCACAGCTCAGGGGCAGGAGGGGAAGGTGGTGGTGGTGCATGGCTCTGGCACCTGCCTGCTTTCATACTTTGAGATCAAATGAAAGCTTTCAACGTCTGTCTCAGGGCTGCAGTAGTTCAGCTGGGTTTGTAGCCAGAGAAGAAAAGATGGTAGCCCTCCAAACTATTTGTCAGAAGAGCAATTTCCAAATTACCTCTGATGGTACTGAGGTGAGACAGAATTAGTGTGAGTATTCAAATAACTATTTTCACCCATGATTTTAAATCTTGTAGGCCCTGGGGCTATCATTCCATGTATACTATTTAAAGGCCTCCAGCTGTTTTTCTTAATAGTCTGACTAATAAAAAGTACATGCTTGGGAAAAAGACTTCTAATTCTCCTCCAATATCTGTTCTCCACTCCTCCCTAGTGCTCGGCCCCCGATTTTCAGTGGATTCATGGATGCTGAGTATACAGACCACGTTTATTTCCTAGCCTTCTTTGTGGGTCGATATGGTCCTGTGCGTAGATCCTAGCCCTAGAATATAAACAAAAAAGTCACGAGCGATTTCTGGAAAGAGTCCATAAGAGTGGAGGCATACCCTTCTCACCCCCTCCTCCTGCGTACTGGCTAAGACGAGAACATAAATGCCGGGGGTGCCTCCCAGACCACTTGCTGAGGGTGGCAAAGCAACTCAATTGCATCCCTGATGCAGTGGGCCGCACGCTGGCGGACCCTGGGCTGCCCATCTCGGCCTCTCTCATTTACAGGACAGAGAAAGGAACCCAAATCTCAATCCTGTTTGAAACACTTTAATTTGGGGATACCTGTCTAATCCTAATTGACCTAGAAGCTGGTACCTGAATGGGGTGTGCAGAGGCTTCGATCTCACGCATATCACAAGAAATGTGACCTGAGAGAGAGGGAGGGTCATCGGGGCAGGGAACAGTGGAGACCGCTCCCGTCAAACAGCAGCAAAGCATTTGCTAGAAGCCTGGCTTTCTATAGTTTGGGAGGAAGACCATGCAACTGTTAGAAAGGTGTTATAGTCAAGACCCTCCCAAAAGGCAAAGCCATGACCCCAAGGACACCAGGCCAGATGCATGACCAGGAAACCTACCTACCGCCTGTGCAGGGAGTCCTTCCCTGCCCCGGGGGATGCCATGGTCCCCATCTCACCCCCGTAGCTGGTGGCAGAGAACACGTCTGTTTTAACCAGCAGACTGCCAGACCTCAGTGAGCCACGTCCGGCCCTGAGAGAGAAGGTTCCTTCCCCAGAGATCCTGAATCTGCTCGACGGAGCAGACTAGTAGGGCTACCTTCCTGGAGGAGGGGTGAGAGTTTTAGACAGGGCGGGGGGAGGAGGGTCATACAACACAGATATTTGGGACTGAGGCAGAAATCGCTGGCTGTTCCCCACCATGGGTGTCCCCCTCCTTTCTTAGGAAGGAAACTTCCAATTTTTAGCTGCAACAAGTCCCTGCGGGTGGCGGGGGGGGGGTAGGGCAGAGAAAAAAGATTTTAGAAACCTTATAATAAAGATCTATTATCTAACTTACATTTTACTTCTATTCCAGACCCTGAGGAAAGAGCCACAGAAGTGACAGATTTAAAGAGAGAAACATGCATGGAATTCAAAGCCAGGCCACACTTTTGAAAATTCTTCTTGCTCTGCATAATAGACCTATGCATGTGGTCGGTCCACAGGAACAAGTTCATATATGGTAAATTCTGATACGCAGCTTTCTACATGCTGGTATTATACTAGAGTTTGACCCTGATGACCCTAGGCACTAAAAGATACCATATGAATCTGGTCGGTACATGTATGTAAAGTACATTGAAGCAGTGTCTAAAAGATAAAAGCTTTCAATACATTAGCTAGTATTATTATTATTATTATTATGACCACAATAGACTCTGCTTCCATGAGGAGAGCCCATGTGGGATCAAATATAATATTAGCTATAGACGTGGTTTTGGTCTGGGGCACATGGGTGGCTCAGTCAGTTAAGAGTCTGACTTTTGATCTCGGCTCAGGTCATGATCGCAGGGTCGTGGGATCGAGCCCCGCATCGTGCTCCCCACTCAGTGTGGAGTCTCCTAAAGAGTCTCTCTCTCTCCCTCTGCCCCTCCGCTCCTGCTCTCACACTCTCTCTCCCTCTCTCTCAAATAAATAAATCTTTAAAAAAAAAAAAAAAGAAAAATGGTTTTGGTCTTACTCTTAGAAAGGAATAAGCCATATTTATCCATCTCATGGTCCCTTTGTGGACAACTGTGAGTTTTCGGCATCAAGGTGACCTCAAGCTCCTTCTCCCAAAAAAGGCTACAACCCATCCACCCCACCCCACCCCACCCCCAGGAACTTCTCAGCAGGCTTGATGACTCACGAGGCTGCAGTGAGTAACTGTATCTCACAGTGTTCGGAAGGAAGCCATGCGAGCCATGCAACAGGACATCTGTATGTTATGGTGAGCAGCCACTATTTATTAACGTGGGATCTGCTCTGTGCCAAGCAGAAGGATTAATCATTAATCATCAAAGCTATTTTATTCTCTGTCCTCTACAGAGACCAGGCAAGAAGAGAAACAAAGACACTTCCTAAATGCCCTTGGAAAAGCCAAAATATTTTTCTCTTCTGTAAAAATAAAAACTCGTCATCCTACAGAAGGTTCTGACTCTGCTATTGTCCTGCTCAGCTACACACTTTTCCAGACTCAAGTTGCTTAAGACAGAATGTAAAAAAAAAAAAAAAAAAAAAGTTCAGTATCAAAAAGGAACTTACCAGTAATCAAGGGTACTAAAGCAGTGTATTTACACGGCATTTTCTTTCTATCCTAAAACACGTGCTCACCAGGATGTAAGGAAACCCAATCATCTGATTACACAGGAGATGGGTGATCCACTCTAGACGGCTTGCAGACCTCTTAGTAATCACTGCCCACTACACGAGCTCAGAGCCCGTAATTCCAGTGGTTCAAGATCATCCCAACATAAAATATTCTTCACTTGGGGCGCCTGTGTGGCTCGGTCGTTAAGCATCTGTCTTCGGCTCAGGTCATGATCCCGTGGCTCAGTCGTTAAGCGTCTGCCTTCGGCTCAGGTCATGATCCCAGGGTCCTGGGATCGAGCCCCGCATCGGGCTCCCTGCTCTGCGGGAAGCCTGCTTCTCCCTCTCCCACTCCCCCTGCTTGTGTTCCCTCTCTCGCGGTGTCTCTCTCTCTGTCAAATAAATAAAATCTTTAAAAAATATATATATATTCTTCACTTACTGCCCAACAAAAATGGAGAAGTGCCAGTGTTTTGTTTTGTTTTTTAAGATTTTATTTATTTGAGAGAGAGAGAGCACGAGCAGGAGGAGGGACAGAGGGAGAGAGAGAGAAGCAGACTTGCCACTGAGCAGGGAGCCCGATGCGGGGCTCGATCCCAGGACCCTGAGATCACGACCTGAGCCAAAGGCAGATGCCTCACCGACCGAGCCACACAGGCACCCCATAAAGTGCCAATGTTTTTCTATCTAAATTTAATCTCCCAAAATCCTATGTCAAATGCTGTGTCTGATTTTTTATTTGGAAAATACGATGATAATAGGTCACCTTTTCAATACAAATAGTGTGCTCTTGAGTAACAGAGGATTATCGCAGAGTTTGCGCAAGCAAGTAACAATTGTTCCATATACAAACACAGGCTTTTTCCTTCTCATCGGAGGGCACGGGATTGGGTAGGAGGGGAGGCAGGAAACGGAAGAGAACACTGAAAAAAAGTACCTGTGACAACACAAAATAACCCAGCAAATAACTGTTCACGGTCATGACTCATACCCCCTCGTGCTACACCCACCTCACTCTACTGATTCCGCTCCACGAACGCTTTCTCTACACACTATTCACACAAAACCGCCAATTCCATGGCTTTGACGATGACAGTCAAGAAAATTCTAAGGTTATCTCATCATTTTTATAACAACATATTATCAAATTCCAGAAATTATTAAGAAAGACCAACATATTCCCCTATGGTGAATTATGCATCTAATTGTGCAGTCCCATGAGTGAAAATGCCCAGAAACTGTGAATCCAGTGGGGTGTTTGGTTTTTGTTTTTTAGTTTTACAGTCCTGAAATTTTAGTCCCATGGTGAAGGAAGATGCCTTTCTTATTCACTCCCTCTGTAAGCCTACTTTTTAAACTATCTCAATATAAGAATATTAATACTAATTTAAGAGTTAAAAAAATTCCTTTCATCTGTTTGTCATTTTTTAAACTTTAACCAAAGTCCATGAAACAGAAGAAATAAGAAAGAAAACTCTGTAAGAATAAATCTCAAACATCTAAATGGGATTAGAGAGCGCCTGCAAAATGTACTGAACAGGGAACATATCAAAATGGGTTTCCAAAAGTATGAAGTTTCCAATTCATTTCAACTCAACACAGCTCATATGTCGTTCAAATGTGCTGTCCTGGCCCCCCCACAAAACATCTTCTGGTTACAACAACACAAAAATAAAATAATGGCCTGAGTAATAACACCACTGGGTAAAGATATTTTTCCATCAAGTTTTTTCCGAGGACCATCTGAAAGGTCAACCACTAAGGGAAGGAAGAGAGTCACAATACACAAAATCCCCTTGCTTTCAAATATAAACCTGTGATCAAGGAACATTTTTAAACTTTTCTTCCTACATTTTACCTCTTCTAGGACCACCTTGCTTTGCTAATGGGCTTATTGAGAGTTCCCCTTCGTTTCTACCCCTTCTCCCCCAACGCTGGTCCGACAGGAGACTCCTCTGGACTCCTCTGAGCAGCTGCACAAAGTCTGGCCAGAACTTACCCATCCAGAAGGTTCATCGTGGTAGGCGTCACTTCGGCAAACAGAATTACTTTTCCAAGTCGCTTTGTCTGCAGATTCTGTCGGTAGATGTCCAAGTTAAAATTTTCTGAAGAGAAGGCCTCCACGTCAGTCACCACAGGTAGGGCAGATGGATTGATTTCTATTTCAGACGTGTAGGATGAAAGAAACTTAAGGGAGAGCTTGCTGGATTTTATGACTCCTTCAGGATCCACATGCTTCCCCAGCCACCGCATAAGAGGATCCCAGATTTCCTGTGTTATAAAGAAAGAAATGAAAAGGTCGTAATTTGGCATTACATGAGGTGATGGTAGCCTTTCCCTAAAATGCCACTTTGGTAATATAAGTACTTCCTAATTCATGACCAGTAAGAGCTAGAGTAACATATTCCAAACATCTGTGCCATCATACAGTAGACAATAAGTATAGGAAATATGCTTATACCATAAAAATACACTTGACCCTTGAACAATGCAGGTTTGAACTGGGAAGGTCCACTTATGCTCGGGCTTTTTTCGATAAATACAGTACAGTGCTGTAAATGTATTTTCTCTTCCTTACGCTTTTCTTAATAATGTTTTCTTTTCTCTAGCTTACTTTCTTGTAAGGAGACTGTATATAATACACATAGCACACAAAGTACGTGTTAAGGGGTGCCTGGGTGGCTCAGTCGTTAAGCATCTGCCTTCGGCTCAGGTCGTGATCCTAGGGTCCTGGGATCGAGCCCCATGTCGGGCTCCCTGCTCCACGGGAAGCCTGCTTCTCCCTCTCCTGCTCCCCCTGCTTGTATTCCCTCTCTTGCTGTGTCTCTCTGTCAAATAAATAAATAAGATCTAAAAAAAAAACAAACAAAACACGTGTTAATCGACTGACTGTTTATGCCATTGGTAAGGTTTTCAGTCAACAGTATGCCATTGCCATTTAAGTTTTTGGGGAGTCAAAGTTATATGCTGTGGATTTTCGACCTCCCTAGCAGGGAGTGGGGTGGAGGGGGGAATTCTCCTAATTTTCCCACACTGTTTGAGGATCAACTGTAAACTGTTCAGAAGCCAGGATCCAAAGAAATAAATGCACCTTATTAAACTTTCTATCCTACATTATATCCTAAATCCTTAAAAGTCTTCTCCGGCTCTAAAGTTCATTAGTAATTCTCTAAGTCTGTGCCTTTTGCAGGAAATTTACAGCTTTAAACTTTCGCCCCTCAAGGAAATTCATTATCCGATCTGGGGAAATACTATAAAATGCCAGAACAGGAGTCACAGAACACAAGGCACTAAGATAAGAGCATTCGCTCTCCCCCTCTGGAGGACCTCTACCCCCTCTCCTAGACAAGCTGACCCCCACCAGCCACTGACAGGCCACCAGCAGGGGGAACATGACTTTTACATTGGGGAAATAATGGGGAACCCAACAGCTGCCTCCACTTTGTCCAAATGTGGGTCCAGGGGGGGTTGGGAGGGAGGCAGAACCTACCAGAAACCTTGCCTGATCCAGAACAGAGCTCTCTATTCCAATCCCTACAACAAGAAGGGGTCTTGGAGCCTCCAGCAGGCTGCAACTTCCTCTCAGGCCGTGGATGCCCCACCCTGGAGGGACCTCCCTCCGGGGTGGGGTAGGACGTGGGGCACCAGGGAACTACGGGATCAGGGGAGTCATCACCCTGAGAGGCCAACACCAAATGTATTAAGATCAGAGAGTCACAGTAAACACAGACCTAGGCTCTTAGGCCACCTTCATGCAAATGCTGGGCCTTTCGAAAGAGGAAAGGTGCCCTTCTGTTAACACAGGGTATGCCCCAAAGCTGCATGTGGCCGCAGAGAAGCAGCTTCAAAGATGAAATTTCACTGAACTAAATTCAACTAATGGACCATTAAAATGCACCTCCACTTGATGAAAAGTATAGAGGACAGAAGAACAAGTTAAATAACCTCAGGAGGAAGGAAATCAGAAGAAATCGAGGAGGTGAGATATTTCACAAAACAAGAATTGGCAAGTCAATGTCACAGGGGCCCCAAAGGCAGAAGGGGGGAGAGAGGGTGAAACCCCGTCTGGATGAGGAGAGACGTGAAAGACACGATCAAATACAGTGAGTGGCTCTTCACCGCATTCTGGTCTGAACAACTGAGCTGGAAGAGACATTTTGAAAGAATTAGGAAATTTGAATCTGGAGAGTATGGATCAGACAACAAAGATTCACTGTCAGGTCCAGGAGGCATGATAACGGTACCATGGTGATGTAGAAACACGGCCTTAATGGTAGAAATGTGTATGTGTCATGGTATCTGTAGTTTACTCCCAAAATAGATGAAGCAAATAAGGCAAAACGCTAATAACTGTTAAATTTAGACCATGTGTATTTGGGGTATCTGTCACACTATTCTCTCTATTCTTCTCTAGATTTTAAAACTATCATAATTAAAAGTAAAACAAAATGGGGGCAGCTGGGTGGCTCAGGCGGTTAAGCGACCGACTCTTGGTTTCGGCTCACATCACTATCTCAGGGTCGTGAGATCAAGCCCCGTGTCGGGCTCTGTACTCGGCGCGGAGTCTGCTGGTCCCTCTCCCTCCCCTTTTTCCCCTCTCCCCACTCACACACACACACACACACACTCTTTCTCTCAAATAAATAAATAAAATCTTTTAAAAAAGTAAAAAAAAAAGATAAAACACACACACAAATGGTAAAATAAACACTAACTATTATAAAAATATCAGATTCAACTAAAATGTTTTGTCAATCCATTCATGCGACAAATATTATGATATTATGGGGTGCCTACCACCATATGGTAGACTTTCTCATAGGTTCTGGACATTCAGTAGTGAACAAAGGAGCCAAAGTTCCCATCCTCAAAAGGCTTATATCCTAGCATGGGAGTCAGATCATTTTTATAAAAATTCATCAGCACAAGACATAGAATGTTAGTCATAAAGTGCCAAGGAAGAGACGATAAGCAGAGAGGAGAGATAAGAAGTGTTGGAGGTAGGCCATCGTGGGGAGGGCAGATGAACCCTGGGGGGAGGGAAGAAAGGAGGGTGGGACGATGTAACCCACACAAGCCCACGGCTCTTCTCTATTTACACAGAGGATTCCAAGGAGGAGCAGAGGCCCAAAGGGAAGCATGAGGGAGGGAAGTGCCCAGAACGCAGAGCAAGCCAGGAGGGGGCCAAGGAGCCCAGAGGAGGGAGGTGAAGGGGCCCCCACACTGTGCAAGGCCTGAAGGGCCACAGCGGGGACTGGGACTTTCACTCTGGGGGCAATGAGGAGCCCTGGAGCCTTTGGGAAAGGGAGTATGGTGACCTCCTGGTCACAGTCACCGCAGGATCACTCACTCAGCAAACTGCCCTGAGCACAGATTAAGGGGCAGCAAACACAAGGAAGCAGACACCAGTCAGGAAGCCTCTGAAGCTCCCAGGAGGGAGATGCTAACGCCTGGACAGGTGTCACGGTGGCCATGCGACTGACGCAGAGGCCGCAAGATACGCTGACAGATCACCCTTGGGATGTCAGAGGGAATGGGGAGTCAAAAATGAGCCCAAGCAACCAATTCAGCCAACCTTATGTGTAAGACAAGGAAATAAAGGCTTACTTCTCTTAAAAAAAAAAAAAAGAAATGAGGCCAACACTTCTGGCCTAAGCACCTGGAAGGATGGAGCTGCCCCCGGAAATACTGAGGGGAAAGGGAAGGAACAGGTGTGACCCGGAAGAGCCGGCTCTGGGCACATCACACGTGAGACACTGGTTAGAAACGGACGGAGGCAGCGAATAAGCAGTAGGACACGTGAGTCAGGGGTCTAGGGGAGAGGGCCACACCGAGGACATAAATTTGGGAATCTCCAGACTGCAGATGATAATCTGAAGGCAGGAGACAGGCTGAGAGCAATGAGGGAGTGACTGTAGATGAAAAGAGGGGTTACACCAGTTTCCTGGGGCTGCCACTACAAAGTGCCGCGAACTGCGGGGCTTAGACAGCAGAAATCTACCATCCCACAGTTCCGGAGGCCGCAAGTCCAAGATGAAGGTGTCGGCAGGGCCGCGCCGCCTCTGAAGGCTCTAGGAGAGAGTCTGTTCTAGGCTCCTCTCCTGGCTTCTGGTGCTGCTGGCCATCCTTGGCTCCCTTCCCTGCGCCTGTGTCTCGTGTCCTCTTCTTCAAAGGACACTAGCCATATTGGATCAGGGCCAGCCCTAGCGACCTCATCTTAACTGGATTATGTCTGCAAAGACCTTATACCCAAATAAGGACACCCTCACAGGTTCTGGAGATTAGGACTTCAGTGTAGGTTCTGGGGGAACAAAATTCAACCCTCAACGGGTGTCAATGCTTAGATGTCAGGGAGATGAGCAGGAGTCTGCAAAGGACACTGAGAAGGCAAAGGAAAATCAAGTGTGCATGCATAGGGTGTGGGAGCTCCCTGGGAATTCCGGGGTCCAAGTTCACAGGCAGCAAGAAAGTAGGAAGATGGTGGTAGGGCAGCAGGAAGAGGGCTGAGCAGTACCCACTGGGTTCTGCAAGGCAGAGCCCATCGGGCGCAGGCAAGTCTGATGTTATTAAGGGAAGGAAAGAAACCACAGACTCCAAGAACAAAACTCTGGCAAGGAGTTTCCTCTTGGGGAAAAAAAGATGGGGGCAGTGGCTACAGGGAGGAAGGGAGTCCTCCAAACAGGTACGGTTTGGTTAAATGAGAGAAATAACAGCATGTGTTTTAATGATGATGTGAATTGTCCGATCCAGAAAGGTAACAGGTGAACAGGTGAGGACTGGATCCCGATGCTCAAGCAAAGAGGTCAGCTTCAGGAGCAGAGCCCTCCAGCACTGGGATGGACAGGGTTCCACATCCCCGCTGGAGACCCTAGCCTGCTTCCCCACTGGGTTGCAGCCCTCCCTCACCCCTGCTGGCCGCACAACCATCCAGGACAGCCCTGGGAACTCATCTATGCTACCATTATTCTGCTCCCAGGCTGACAGGGAGGTAGGAAGGAGCCCCAGGCTGAAGGCTGCTGACATCATCTTCGGATTCCTTCTGTTTTTCCTCAATAAATAAACAGCAAGATCATCAACTAAGAGTGAAAAGGAAGAAAGAGGTTTGAGAAGGCAGAGTGAGAAAATGAGGAAAGCAGGGAAAATAGAAGGAGCAAGTGGAAGTGTTCAGGGTCCACTCCAGGTTAGTGTTTCTGAATTCAGAGTGAGCAGGTGACCCAATGTTGTGCTTTTATCCAGCCACACTCAGCTACAGAGCTACATGGAATAGGCTC